ATCACGAGCTTGGGACTGGTCGAGTTGACATCCGAGACAGCGAGCAGCTGCTGCACGTACGGCGAGTTGCACCTAGAATCATCGCTGTTGAGATCATTCCAAAACCAAGGTGATACTGCTGCATGGTCTCCATCTCGTGGATGATTGCTTGGGCGGAGGACACGTCGGCAGGCGTTTTGATGGCGACGACACGACCGTTGTACGTGCCCTTGTACACGGTGCCATAGATTGGACTAGATTGGTCCATCTCTATGTCCGTGGCCAGCACCTAGCGGCATCTATGGTAAAGAAAGATCATTTTTAGGAAACTGATGTGTACGCTGGGGATGTCACGGTGCGCAGCGGTCTGGAGCATCGTCGCAAGGCGTCGGTGGCCCATTTGGACGGCCAGAATCACCGGCGTCACGCCCGCCTAAACAACAACAATATTGTCATCGTCGGCAGCTTTGTGTTGTACCGCATTTCGGACGTCAACGTTGATGCTGGACGATCGCAAAAGCGCCGCCAACGTCTTGTGGTCGTTGGTTTGTACAGCGAGATGCAGAGGAGAGTCGCCCGCCTACGCCGTTCCAGCATCGCTTCAATGCTCAAGAGACGAGTCAAAACAGATACCTCGTTCGCGGCGTTATATTGACTGTCGTCGGCCAGCAGCGTTCGCTCTTGACTGGCGTCGTTGACGTACACAGCTTGGACACGCGCCTACAGCATGCATAGGTATGGACATGTGTCATCCAAAATAACTTGTACGTTTGCGCTTTGAGTGCCCTCAGGTCGATCCACCGAGCTCTACATCGTAGGTCGTGAGAAATGATTGGTGAACAACTTGTAATCGTACCTTCAAAGCTTCGAGGCCGACGTCGAGGCGGTCGCGAACCTGCTGGATGAGTTTGTTTAGCTTCGCCTCCGAGTTACAGAGGCTCGTGCGAATAAGGTCTCGCAACCCCTCCGAGGTGATGACGCGGTCGACGAGTTGGTCTAGCAGAGTCTCGGAGAGCTGCGGAACCTACGAAGGCTTGCAGAAGAATGCACTGGATTCTGCCGAGTACCTTTTGCTTGGTCGATTTTTCGGCTTGTAGCAGGGTGTTGATGACGACTGGATTGGTCGCCAGCATCAACGGCGTCTTGCCCGTCTAGGAATCACGTCATCCTAGAGCTTTATGTGTGGTGAGATGGCGATACCTTGTCCTTGGCAAAGACATTGACGTCGACGTCCAAAAGGTACTTGACCACACTGTCGTAGGCCTTCTCGGCCGCAATGTGGAGTGGTGTCCGCCCCATCTAGTTCAAACGAGATAGGAGTTTACGGAATCCAATCACAGACAACATTGTCTACCGCGTCGCTCGCATCGACGTTGACGCCACACTGGACGATTTGGTGAACGACGATCATGTTCCCGCTAATAGCAGCTGCATGCAGCAGCGTCGATCCATCCTAACATCGCAATGACGCATGATGGATACGAATCAATCAAGAGGGTACTTGAGAAATGACGTGGGGGCTGGCGTTGGCACGAAGGAGACATTGGACAACGTCAGCGTGGCCACTGGTCGCAGCGACAAAAAGAGGTGATTCCCCATTCTACACCCGTGGAAAATCAAAACAATCGAAACCAAGTAGTAGAGTGTACGTGGTTGGTCACGTCAATGCCGTTCTCGTCCTTGGTTTCTTGGAGCAGCATCGCGAGGATGGACATATGACCCTTTGCAGCCGCCATATGCCACGCTGTCTCGCCTTTCTGGATCAAACCAAGATGATATTGCCCTTCAAGCTCAAAAATACATGCCTCGTTGGCCAGTGAGCAGCTCACGCCGAGACGCAGGAGCTGAGCCACTGTGCTGCCGTCGTTGGTAGAGGCTGCGTGGCGCATTGCGGTGCCCAATACCGGCCTTGAAGCACATAGATTCTGTACCACACTGTCAATATTCTCGGCAAAACGAAGTCGATATCCCACCGTGTCGACGAGGTCGAGGGACGCGCCCGCCTCGTACAGCGTTTGAGCTGCCTCTGCGGTGCCACAGGTGATGGCGACTGCGAGAGCTGTGCGACCCGTCTATTCCATCGCAAATGACGTGAGAATGCCGGACAAGAAGTCGATTTATGGAAATACCGCGTCTTTGGCATCGATCTGGAGGTTTGGTTTTTGCAGCAACACGCTTGAAGCAGCGAGAAACGCTTGAAGCAGTGACAGATCCTGCGTTGCCACGACCAAGTGCAGCAATGGTGTCTCAGACTACAATCACATTCGTCGTATCCACCGAGAGTGAATCATTTTTAAGAGAGATATGTACACTGTCACGGAGGTTGACGTGAAAAAAGTTGTTTTGGAGAATGCGCGTGGCGTCAGGAATGCGCTTTTCGCGCAGTGCGTCAAAGAGCTACGATACAGAGATCGCATAGACGCGACGGACGAATGTGATGGACCATATGTACTACCTGGTCTTCGTCTTGTATGCGAGGGTAGTGACGCAAAAGCTGTGCGATTGGATCGTTCAAACCGCGTGCTGCTGCGACCTGAAGCGGTGTGTGGCCATCCTACAAATATTTTTATTGATGTGCCTGTGTAGATCCCTAGTAGCACGTTCCGTGCCAGCACCGAACGAGAACTTGCTGACATGGAGAGTGGTGCATGTACGTACCCTGTTTTTGGCATCCATTTTGGCGCCATGTTCCAAGAGGAGATAGGCCATGGCTGGCTGATTGCCATGAGCCGCTCGGTGCAGTGGTGCATAACCAATCTACAGCAATACACACTTGAAATCAACGCCAACGAAAAGACAAAAACATACCACGTCGCACGGTTCCAACTTGGCGCCTTTTTCAAGCAAGAGGCGAACGACGTCCAATTGACCATTGTAAGCAGCGTAGTGCAATGGCGTTTGAAAATTCTACTCCACAATATGAATGGAAAACAATTCATGTATGTATAGAGATCCAGCGCACGTTCTCTATGCAGTTGACGTTGACACCTTTGTTGAGAAGCGAGATGACGTTAGCCAAGGTGCCATATCCTGCAGCACTGATAAGCGCGTTCTACAAATATGACCATCTCCGCATCCTCGCAGGTCGCCTGGTCGTCGTACTACCTCGTCGCTCGTTGGCATCTTCTGTCGCCGTCGGTTTGAAAACTGATGGCTTTCCTCTTTTCATTGGCTTCTTTTGAACCAATCCACGCTCGGCAGCACAACCGGACGACGTCATATCTTTTCGGATACGCAAACCAAGTCGAAGCAGGATCCGCGTGTGAAAAGCAGGCGTGCAGCAAAAGTGCATAACTGCGTCCTACGCAACGACGAGTCGGTCGAAGGAGCAGAGACTGGTGCAACTGGCGCCCGTCTATCGCTGCGAGGGATCGCTCTAGAGTCTTTAGAAACGCCGAGTTCTTTCGACTTGGTCCATCCAAAACAACAAAATGGGCTCCAAGAACCCTTCCAGAGGTAGAGCAGTCTGTACTGATACCGTCGTGATCAACGCCCGCGAACAATATAACACCACATTGTCGCGGAGCCACGTTATGATGACAACATGCAGCTCGAGCGCTGTCTCGATCGCCGCCAGCGACGACGCGGCCGAGTGCATATGATGGAGCGTGGTTGCCAGCACCGATTCGGGAATTGAACCGGCGACCCACGCACGCGCCACCGCACGGACCACGACCTTCATGTCCAGCTCAAACGCCAGCGCCATCGCCGACGCGAGCTCGATCGACCGCAAGGCTGCACGCGGCGGCGACGCAAGGTGCGTCAGCAGCAACGACACCACCTCGGGCGCACGCAGCGAACCCAGTGCCAGATTGTGCTCGGGCAGTGCGAGCTTGCCGCGGACCAAGAGCAGTTGCTTGTGGACATCCGAGGCCGAGACAACGGTCAGCGCGCAGTCGCCAGCGTCCGAGGCAAGACCAGCCTGCGACACAAACCACCGATGCGCTTCGGGCACGAGCTCCAAGACGTTGGAGGCCGCGAGGAGTGCGTCGCGCTGGACCTGGAGGATCGACGGCGCAAACGGCTCCAGCTCGAGGCGGAGGAAGAGCGAGTACATGGCGCGGGCTGCGTGCACAAACCGGCTCCGAGCGACGTAAAAGCTGTAGAGGAGACGGTACAAGGCAGACGCGCTCTGCGACGACTTGGCCGGCGACACGTGCGCGTGGGTGTTGGCGGCTTGCCACAGCAGCAACTCTTCGACTTGCGCCTCAAACGCGCCCCAGCGCACCTCACAGACGACGTCGACGCGGCCAGCGTCACAGAGCTGCACGACGCAGTCGCCGTAGAGCATACGAGCCTTGTGTTAGATCGTCATCTTGTAGACATCATCGGTGCCTTATCGAACCATGCGCTGCAAGCTTGGCCGATATACACTGGGTACTCAGTCTCTGGTCAGGAGGTCTATTGAGACAACAGAGGCCAAGGACCTGCGTCCATGCGCGCATCGAGGTTGCGATGATCTTGCGCGGCTGCGGCCGGCCATATCGTCTCCTGGTTCTACGCAGTCGTCGCGTGAGTCATTCCGTAGAGTTTATTGGAGATGGATGACCGATTCCGCCAAGAACCGTCGATACACGTCCTCTCGCGCGAGCACGTGCATGTCCTGGCCCGCTCCGTCGCAGACCGTGCACGCTTTAACCTTGGCGCCGCCTTCCGGCGCACGGGCGACGATGGCTACAAGCGTCGTTGCATCAAGCCATGACGTCTAGCCCGAATGCCATCGTCATGCCATGACGACGCCGACCACGGACGTGGACAGGCGGCGAGCAATCAACGCTGTCAACGCTGTCGCAGAGCATCACCCACTTCTGCATCACCACGACCTTCCGCAGCATACAGGTCGCCGTACGCCGCAGCCATGCGCCTTGGCTTTCTTCCGCAGGTCGACGTCCATCAAGCCGCGGTAGGCGCTGGCGCGAAGCCTTGATGTGGAAAAATGATTCGCCGCTTTTGATTGGTCGAAAAGACGATAAAATGTCATCAACAACCGGACATATATCCGGATACACAGGATCTCCACAAATATCGGCACATGCTGAATCCAATGGCATATCCGGACGTCATGCCGCAAGGAGGTGCCACAACGAAACGAGCAAGCGGCAGAGCAAAGCGGCAGCGCGGCCAGAACGACGGCGCTGCAGTCGCCTTGCCCAGCACAGCCAGCACGATGCGACCGACATGACGTGGAAGCGACTTGCTTTGACCAACGCGATGCCATCCCATGGTCTCGGAAAGGCGGGCCATCTGGCTGGCGCATTAGGCTCAGACGCCACCTCGGCTAGTACGTCGCATGGAACGGGGTGATTCGATGTCTTTAGACAGGTTGGTAGTACGCAGGAGACAGAGTGCATAGCGCTCATCCAGCGGCGGCGATGGCAGCCAGGTTTGGTGATTCGTACCAAGGGCCGAAACAGGTAGGAGGCCATTGCCATGCGCAGAGCTACGTTGGACGACGTGTAGCTAGCGAGATTGCGATCGTCGCGCGAGGCGTCTTGATAGTTTCAAGCGTGCAGTCTGTAGCGACAAGACGACAGCAGTCCATCGAAGCGTCTGCAAAGCACTTGGCCCATGGACATAGTACGACACTAGCGCTTGGTGCATGCCAAGCAGCATCGAGTACGAGGCAGATCGCCAAGGCAGCGAGCTGCGCTCGATACTAGCCGAGGACAAACGCGCCGTGACCGAAGCAGTTTGGTTAATAAATCATCGATCTCGCTTCGAGGCTTGTCCCACCAAGTCTTTCTAATCGTGTCCTTATTGTTGCATGTGCCAACGACGACTGCATCGCGATGGCGGGATCCAAGAGCTTGATGGCATGGAGTGGCGCCGTCTGCCCGGAACGGTACTCCGGGGCACAACAAAAGTGGAGCCCGGGCGCGAACCACGGGCGCTTCCTTGCGGCGCGGTAGACCCTTGGTGCAACGGCCCGCGGTTGCCATGGACCAGGAACACCTCCTGCTGACCGCAGGATTGGCTGCTTGGTGGCAATCGCCTTGTTGAGACCCAGTGAGCATCCAGCTGCTGCGTTGACCGTGCTACCTGCGAGGCCAATCTCGCGCCGTTTACGACATGAATGAATTTGTCCACACTAATGTGCATCGACTAGATACCGTTGGTTTGGTCATCGCCCCTGAAAGTGCTAGCTTGGGATGCTATAGTAGAGAGACAAAGCCAGCAACGAGCTTCCGTCCCTCGTAGGGGTAGGTCTCTTCTGTACCTGGATCGGCATTTGGATGTACAAGCTGTCAAGAGTGTCAACTCAAAAGCACTCTTTTGGTTTGGAATTTTGGGACTTCTGGTTTTTTTAGCAGTTGTGGAATGGTTTGTAGTACGTAGGATGGAAAATGCACCAACCCAGATAAAGTTGTGAAGCGTTTTTGGACACGTGTACTGAACGATTGAGACGAAATGTTGTACAAACGTGTAGTACGCTTCAAAATACAAAAGTCAGCAGCGTTGCACTAGGGCTCTTCGTTGATCGACTCGAGCATCTTCGTCGGCGTCGTCGGTGGGCGGTCGAGGGGGTCGGCGTGAGGTCGTCGTCATCGTCGTCGCACGCGTCATCAACCTCGGGATCGTCAAGATCGTCAAGGCGCTTGGCGAGGTACTTGACAATCTGCTTGGCCGTCGGGCGCGTCGATGGCTCGTGCGTCCAGCAGGCCGTCGCGAGCTTCCAGAGCCAGCGCGGGCAGTCGTGGCCGAGATCCGGACGCAGACCGTTGTCGCGAATCTTCTGCACGAGGTTTCTGTCGCCTAGAAGCGCGCCGTACGGCTCGTTGCCTGTCGCCAACTCGGACAATACGATGCCAAACGAGTAAATGTCGGCGGCTGTCCCATACGCTTGTTCGGTGCTAGTCGACGAGGCACGAAGCACTTCGGGGGCTATCCAGAGCGGCGTGCCAACGTGCATCGTCATGTTCCGCTTCACGGTCGGTGCCGTGCCAAAGTCGCCGAGCTTGATGCCATGGATGGACGAGAGAAAGATGTTCAAACTCTTGACGTCGCGGTGCACCTTGCCGAGGCTGTGGATAACGTCGAGTGCGTTTGCCACCGCCCACGCCACCTGCATTGCCGTTATCTCAATTTCCACATGCTCGCATTTGCCCTTGTTGACGTGGTGCTGGAAGACGACGCCTTGGTCCATGAGCTCGAGCACCATATATATCATTGGAGGTATGCAATAAATAGAGTCGCATGTCGTCTACCGGTACTCCAAGTGACGCAACGCCGTCGGCCAAGGTGAGGCAAAGTCGCTAATGTGTACTACTTGGCACTCGCATGGCGTTCAGGATAGTCTGGACACATATTATTTCCGATAGGTTGAGCTTTGAAACCCCCAAAACATTGACAAGGGATCGATCGACGAGACAATCGATTTCGATGGACCAAAATTCCACCTGCCAGCCATTCGTTTCGACGATTCAGTTTTGGAGCCCCTTAATGTACTATATGTTTTCCACACGCAATCCCGCCACGTTCAAATCAAAAGTGTTCAAAAATGGTCATGTACAATCAAAATGGGTGCTAGAGCGACGACAGCGATGACTTTACGCGGCCTACACACGATCGTTGGCCAATTGCATGATGGATACGTACTACCTCGGTTCCGTGTGCTTCCTCAATCGTCGCTAGGCCGGCCATCACCAAACGCTTTCCTGGGACGCTCTTGCCATCCCGATGCGCCACGAGTGTAGTGATAATATCGTCGGCTGTCGGGCGCTTGGATGGATCGTGTTCCAGGCACTGGTCTGCAAGCGCTTGGAGCCAAGGCTCGCAAGTGGCGCTCATTTTCGGACGCAGCGTGCCATCGCGCACATGGTTGCGAATGTTTCTTGTGTCGTCGACGTCGGCATACGGCTTTTCGCGCGTGTCGAGCTCGGTGAGGACGACGCCAAACGAGTAAATGTCTGCGGGCGGACCATACTACCGGCCATTGCCGCCGTTACCGACGCGAACGACTTCGGGGGCGTCCCAGAGCGGCGTGCCAGGGTTCGACGTCAGCAAACCATTGTTGAGCGTCCGCGCCGAGCCGAGATCCGCGAGTCGAATGTAGTGCGTCGTCGAGAGAAAAATGTTGAGGCTCTTGATATCCCGGTGCACCTTCCCGAGGGCGTGCAAATCTTTCAGCGCGTAGGCGAGCACAAGGGCCACCTCGATTGTCGAAACTTGCAGCGGCACATCGAGACCCGAGCGGATCTTCTTGAGCGTATCGTCGAGGTCCCCGCCGTCCATGTACTCGATGACCATCGTCGGGCTGTACAGCTTGTCGCCGTTGGGCCGCGAAAGGAGAGCCGTCGTCGAGCCATTGTCGAGGATCGCGATGAGCGGCTGCACGTACGGCGACGTACACCTACCCCGTCATCGTATCCATTTTCAAGTTGAGGATAATGGAGGTACGTTTGCATCTCGTTGACTTCGTTGCGCATTTGTTCCATGAGCCGGGGCAAGGCATACCGCACACCCTTGAGCACGACCATCTTGTCCTTGTACGTGGCCTTGTAGATGTCAACGTCGCGTTGCCGCGCGATGCGCTCGACGATCGTCACGTCATCGGCAGCCGCCTCCAGCATATGCATAGTAAAAGCGTTGCTACGTGAAAGGGCGAGATACCAGCGTCGGAGGACGTGGGTACATGCGCTCGTAGAGAATTTGGGCCATCTCGCGACGCCCGTGCTGGACCGCAGCGGCCAAGACCGTCATCTTGTTCTACAGAGCACTCAATGAGTACGCTGTTGTAGCTACTGCGAATCAAGTACTACCGGCAACGGCACCCAAACGTCAGCGCCAGCGTCGAGAAGAAGCTCGGCAACAGCATCACGCCCAGCCACCACGGCGCGCGCAAGGACCGTGTAGCCCTCCTAAGAGATCATTTCATTGTAGAGTTCATCGAGTGAGAGTCAGAGAGTAATACCTGATCACGTTGGTTGATTGCAGTTCCAGGAGCCTTGAGGAGAGCGAGCAGCATCGTCGAGTCAAGTCGCGTGGCAGCGACATGTAACACCGAGGACCCATCCTAAACAACTCGATAAACATACACAAGACACGACAACACTCGGACCGGCAGAGGGATCGAGGCGGTGGCGCCGACAGAGAGGAGCAACGCTGCAACCTCGACTCGGTTGGTCTGAACGGCAAGGGCAAGTGCTGTGTATCCTTCCTACATCAATGCCAATCAAAACACAGCCCATCATTCCATGCCATGCAGGGAAACTACCTCGTTGATAGCGTCGATATTGGTACTCGGACTGGCCAGTAGCATGCCCAGCAGCGCCATCGACCCGCTTTTCGCAGTGATGTGCAGTGGCGACGGACCGCTCTACTCGTGCAGAACGACGATTGTACTTGATACTTAGAGAGATTGGTACCGTCGATGTGCCTTGCACGGCGTTTGGAAACGAGCGCAACAGGTCCAGCACGACATGCACCTTGTCGCGCGCAACCGCGTCCACCAGTACCTTTTGGCACATCTACACAAGACAATATTGAGCACCCTCCAGTGGTTTTGTATGCACGAACAACCTCGTGACAAAACTTTGAGACTTGGAGCGCCGACCGCAGTAGGCTCACGTTGTCGTTCTCCATGGCCATCGACAGAAGCGCAAGCAGAAGCTTCTTGTTGTTTTCTCCAGTGACGGCGGCCACGACGGATTCCTATTGCATGTACTTTGAGAGAAGAGCGTGCTTTAGGTCTACGCACTTGGTCAAGGTCGGTCAGGATGGGGACGCCTTCACGTAAAAGCTCAGTCGCGGTCGCCCAGTTATGCGCCGAGATGGCCTCCGACAGCGTGTCTTTCTACTCATTTCCTCATCAACCTTTGTCGCTTCTTGGCCATTGTCGTACCTTGCTTTGAATCGCATGCTCGAGGCGAGTGCGCTCGGTCTGGATGGCCTTTTTACCAGCCAACAACTGCTCGAGGACGTCGCCCGAGGCCAAGTCCAAGGCTGTCTTGCGGCTCTAAAAGCATAGTTTCGTCAATGCATTCGAGGACTGTCTTTGGTAGCATGGACAATATGGATGTACCGTATTGCGCAGGAGGAGATGGGTTTGCGCTGCCAGTAACTCTGCGCGAGCCGCCGTCAGAGCTGTGTACGGCAAGTTGGTGTTGTCGGTTGCAGTCGACGCGGGTAGAAGTTTGGCGAGGAGTGTCGTGACGACGGCGGCGTGGCCGCTGGCCGCCGCCAATTGCAGCGCGGTCTCTCCCTTTTAAATAGAGCAACTACAATGTATGCAATATGAATGCTGTAAGTTCTAACCTCGTTTGAAAGTGTTGGGCTGATGCCGAGAGACAGAAGCTGATCCACGAAGGTCACGTCGTTGGCAGAGGTTGCTTGAAGAAAGAGGTTCTTGACCACGCATGAGTTTTCAGCTTGGGCTCGAGTCGTCTAATACAAGTTGTTAGCTACTGAAGCACGATGCAAGCGTGTACCTTGTCGTTGACATTGAGGTTGGGCTTTTCCAAGAGCGTTTGGAGCAACGGTCGATCTTGCGCCTCGAGAACGAGCAGCACCAAGGACGAGCCGTTCTAGCCATTGGTTTTGAGCCACTCAATAATCGAAATAGAGGCCCGTACGATGTCGCGAAGGTTGGGATCAATGGTCTCTTGCGCAAGGATTCTCGCTGCATCGGCAAAGCGCTTCTCATCGAGGGCTTTAAAGAGCTGCGCAGAGACGACGTTGCGTCATCACAGAAATGGAAACACGCAACTATGTAGTACCATATTTCCTGGGTTGCGAAGAGAGTCTTGCAATAGCGCAATGACGTTGACATGACCATATTTTTCCGCAAGCACGAGCGGCGTATCGCCATCCTACAAGAGAAAGAATGTTGTTGGAATCTCTCTCGCAGCGCGTTGCTTGAAAAGAATATGAACGTACCTTGTCTTCGTCGTCGATGGCCGCGCCTTTCTCAAGCAAAAGGCGGACGATCTCCAAATGACCTTTGAAAGCCGCAAAGTACAATGGTGTATAACCACTCTACACCAAGAATCACGTGATAAAACACACTCGTGAGTGATGAACGCAAATCACACAACGTACGATCTCCTTGGCGTCGATGGCCGCGCCTTTCTCCAGCAAAAGACGAACGATCTCCAAATGACCATGGGAAGCAGCAAAGTGCAAAGGTGTTGAACCATTCTACACCAATGAACATATCAATAATCTCCATGGATCATCGATGTATATAGATTTCACGTACCTCGTCTTTGCAGTTGACGTCGACGCCGTTGTCGAGATAGAATTGGACATCAGCCAACTTGCCCTCTTTTGCAGCGTTGCGAAGCGCTTCCTATATCGTCGCATCCGCGTCCTTGAGCCTCCATCGTATCGATGGACGGCCGGTACCTCTTTCTTCTCCTGCGGCTTCGCAAAAAAAACATTTTGCCAACTGACGCCGATTCTCCCCCTTCTCATTGGCTGCTTTATATCCAATCACATCACAACGCTTCACCTGCCGACGTCCTTCAGATGATATCTGGCCGAAGGACAGTGAAAACCTACCGTATGCATGGGCTAATCGCATCACGATTTCTTTAATCTTTGTCCGTTTTCGCTGATTTTTTTTTGTTCGATGGAGAGTTTTGTGGGTGTTTTAACTCGTCGTCCGATCTGAAAAAGGAATAGAAATGAGCACGTCGTGGCCGTTCTATTTCTACCATTAATATGGCATTTTCCTATGCCGCCTGTAAAAAAGATGAATAAAATACACTCTGATTTTTTCACCTCTTGATTGAAAAATGCGAAACGTTTTAATCAATTCTGCATAAAATAATATAGTAATTGCTATGAATTGCATAAAAAATCGTGAGGTTTCTGAGTCATTATTATTATTCGCACTTTTTAAAATTGCTGTGGGAGCTGATCCATCTGCCCTTTATATGCTTCTCAAAAAATTTAATTCTCACGAGCCAGCACTTGACCTCAAACGTGCACATTTGGACGGTATGCTCCTTCAGTTCTTCTCGGATTGAGAAACGGACGACGTACGTGCGCGCACAGCAGGGAGACGCGCGCACGTACATTTTTAGATTCGTCTAATTCGCAAAAATGACGAAACTGCATGAAAAAAAGTGACGACTGCTGCGATTTGCCCATGCATACGGTATCAGTCATTAATATGCTTTTAACGGACAGCACTCTGGGCTGCACAGTGGCCTGGACATTCTAGCGGACTGGGAGCCGTCAAATTGTCTTTCATGGATTTTTATTTTCCTCTCTAGGAATAGAATAACTTGATATTTGTATGGATTATTTTGAATTAAGCATAAGCGACGTGTGATTCACACGTCGCTTCACACGGTGTGAAGAGAATTCAGCGGCTGCTTGTCCGCTAAAATTCTTGGCCAATCACAGGCCGAAGAAACGCAGGAAAAGGGCGGCGTTTCTGCCAATGAGCGTAGTGTCCGAGCCAAACGAGCATGCGAGCGACCGCGAACTGCGCTTGGGGTCCACGGGTGGGCCATCCGTCGTGTCGGTGTGCTTGCGTTGCAGCTGGTCGCTCGGCCACGTCATGGAGCGCTACTTCAAGTACGAGCAAGCTGGCGACCAGTTCGTAGGACGCGCCGTGTCTAGGCTACCCATCAACAGCGCCAACTTTGCCGTTGCGCCTCCTCATTTTGTCGACAACAACACCCCGACGATTGCAGCGCAAGTCGCACGTGTCTTTTCCGGCCTCGCCAAATCCTCGACCATGGTTGGTATTGCTCATCTACTGCTCGCGAGCCTTGTGTACCACTACGATGACCTTGCCTCCAACGGATTCGCCTCTCTCGTCGATTCTATTCACGGGCCCCACGATCCGCGCGTCGCTCGCGCCGCTATTGACCCCGCGCAACGACGCGACGATGCTTGTGACGGGTGTGCTGCCATACGTCGAGATCTACCAAACGGAGAAGTATCGCACGCGTCGCACATCGCAGCTGGAGATTTCCAGCATTTACAACCAACCTCCTCTTTCGGCTCTCCAAGGCAGGCAAAACTCATTTGGATAGCGGTGCATAACACTTTCAAGTTTACCAGTACATGTCAATGCCTGTGATGTCTTCGTCATAGCGTACTTTTTCTTTATACTGCACAAGCACGCTGCCACGTCATGGAGGCTTTTTGGAAAATCAGATGCCAAGGGCTTTTCACGGAGGCCTGTCCGTTAAATTCCAATCACAATTCACTCTACCCATGTACAGTGATGTACAGTGGTGGTCAAATTAATCGCCGCACTTGGCCGGTTGATAGATATCTCCTGTAGGAATAAATATATATATTGAAGATAATTTATTAGACGAATATCGGATTATAGAGAATCGATGAGTGTCCATCACGCATGTTGTAACAGCTTATACTATTGCCTTTCACAATGTATCGAATGTCGTAGTTTATAGAGCCAGGGTCAGAGCCACATGATTTGGGCAATTGGCCAATCACAGGCGTTTTCGTTTGGACCTGCAAGTGCGGCAATTACTGTAATTTGACCACCACTGTAGTACCCCCGATAACGTTAAGAGCATTGGGACCAGTGGCACGTCTTGCTACAACCTCTCGTACGAATCTTGAGCACACCTTGTTCCATCCCGTAGAATCCCTCCATGCAGCTTTCGTATGCATATGACATATTGTACATCATACCACGTGTAAGAAAAGTCGTATCAGGTATTGAAAAGAAGAAGAGATCAGTAGACTAGACGCGAACGACTGCATCGAGCGCCTTTACATACCGAAAGTGCGCTTCCACCTTGGTCGCGAGCGCCTTGGCTTGCGCCGTCAACGCTGGCACTTGCATCGCCGACGCCAAGAGCGTATCCAACAGCGCCATCGGCAGCCACGAGGTGTGGACTGACGTACTAGAACTGCCAAACGAGTCGATCGTCAATGGCTCGGTCGCAGGCACAAGTGCGTCCGCCGTCGACAGCGCATCGTCCAGCGCACCGTGCTTGAGCAGAAGCGAGAGCAGCTGCGGCCCGTCGGTCGCCACCACACTGTCGCGGAGCCACGTTGGGATCGCAACGCGCAGCTCGAGCGCCGTCTCGATGGCCGCCAGCGACAACGACGCCGAGTGCATGTGATGGAGCGTGGTTGCCAGCACCGATTCGGGAATTGAACCGGCGACCCACGCACGCGCGACCGCACGGACCACGACCTTCATGTC